TACTCAGGGCGTCGTCGAATAGTGTGTTTCAAAAGTAGTCACACGACCACCTCCGCAGTCATTTGGTTAGTGGCGTAAGCTAAAGGCAACCGCAGGGGGAAAAGAGGGGTGGGCACAAGTGACGTACATCTTGTGAGGAAACTTGTAGATGTTGAAACATATAACAATATGATGATGCCCGTAAACTGGCTTCTCCTATGCTAACTTTTTAATGTGGGGATAAAATGCCTATTTATTTATTTATATAAGTGGTCTTTCTCAGCCCCAAAAGTTGGTTAATCCACGCACTGTGAGTCCTTACAACATCACTTTCAAATACCAGAGTACCTTGGGTAAACAGCTAAGCCACAAAACTTCGAGCCCACATTGGCTTATGTCAACGAAAACTGACGAATGCAGGTCTAAACCTCTACAAATGACCGAACGGGGAATCTATGAGTAGCAGTGGGATAGAGGAACTGGTGAGCAACCGAGTTGACGCGCTGTTCAACACAGTAGTGGATCCACCACTGGCATCCAGTAACGCAGTAAATCGCCAGGGCTGCTATAAAAAGCTTGTGAACGTCGAGACTTCACCAAAATAGGTGTTTGCTAAACTTTCAACACTCAGAAGAGGCAGTTCAAAGGGTGTGACAACCTAAAACTGGTGGTCCTACGGCATTGTTAAGCAGTGCTAAGCTTCCCCATACGCAATGTATTCACACACTCGCTGGAGGTACGCTAACTCCCTGAAGAATGTAAGAGTGCAACTTTCCACCAATCGCTGAAGGAGGCGCCCGAAAATGCCAGTGCAATTACAGGCCGATGGCGTTACTCCGCGTATCACCCCACCTACTGGAAAGCCTGTTTGCAGGTATTGTTTGGGGCTACCTAAGTGTAGACGGTTTCGTTCGTCCCACTCAACACAGTTTCAGATTTGCACGACCATGAGCCAAAAACCTGATGACCGCTCTGGATGACCGGGCACTGGAGTGGACAATAGGCAAGCAGCCCACGTTGCTTTCTGGACTTGACTGAAGCTTTTGACGGCTCATACACTCCACCACACCCGCCAAACTTTCGGAAGTGGGTACCACTGAATCATTAATGGCATACTTCACAGCATATTTATAGGACTCAGAATTCCGTACAAAAATAAACAGAATCCATTCAGCCTGAAGGAGTGCATGAATAGGAGCTTCACAAGTGGCGATCCTTTGAACACTCCTTTTTTACTATTCATAAATAACCTCATCTTTCAAGTCTTCTAACTCCTCATCCCTTTTGCCAACGACATCGAAACACAGCAGGTGATGGTTGGGGAGGAGTATCCCAGGATATTTCAAGACTATCTGTTGCACTTGGCATCCTCGTCGGTTGAGCTTTAACCCGAGGAAGCGCATAGCGATTTGTCCTCGCACGCTGCAAGTGGTGAGAACCAGCTAAAGCCTCAGTAAGTGGGGAAACACCGCAGGACAGAATCAAACTAATCCGACACACCGGATACCTAGGTAAGATATAAGGGGGTGGCAGCAAAGGCGAACGCCCCTGTGCATATACTAAGAAGGCAGTTTGGCACTTTAAACCTATGCTGGGCGACACTTAAGAGTGTTCAGCAAGATACCCTCCCTCGAATAAAGAGGGGTGGGAGTACTGCAGGGAGGGTACTGAGGCACACGACGGGACCAGTTGTCGTACTAACAAGCGTGGCTCATCCACCAAGAAACATCTGTCTTGGTCTATGCATACGCACCTGGAGTATCCGGTTAAAGTCTCTGGTAAAGTGGGGGAAACCGAGTACCAAGTTACTGTTGGTAAGCTACATGCTCTATGCTTTGTCCTCCCTTTGACTTACATTATTTACATATCAAACCACTTGTCTATGGTGGTACAGAAAACTAGGTCGCGAGCCCTAAATTGTATAACGAAGTCTGCAGGGAGGCAGGATCCAGTCTATGCAGAAAAGATGGGCACAGCAACGCTACCAACGTCTAGGATTCCCGCAGTACTGTCACAACAGACACGGCACTTGTCAAAACCGGCAAACTTATGTAGTCGGGGTGACGATAGCACGTCCCGGAGCGTACTGTTAGTAAAAAATAAAGAGCAGGTGAAAAGCGAAAGTCAACCAACGAATATACCAATACACCCTACGCTTGATCTTGTCTTACATAAGGCGAACCACCTGGTCGTCGACAAAGAGCAAACCTATGACGACTGTAGCGTTCGCTAAGAATCGGTGTCAGAGGCTCGAAAAGCCTTTGCATGCAAAATCTGTCTCAAATAGTCGCACTTTAACAGTGATAATGGCATACCAGGTAAGTGCTAAAGTTTTATGAAGGGGTAACCATGTAGGCGGATGTGGTACACGTGTTTAGAATGTCGGAAATCACCTGCTGTCACCACCGGCAAAGTGGGAAACCAGGCGCGGTCGTATGTATATCACAAAGTACCAGCTCTAATAATCTACCCTCAGAAACTGGCCAAGCTCCATAGGTTCGCGTGATGTCACCCTAGAAACAGAAGGAAACTAGCACCCACTACAAGTGAGGTACTAACGAAATCCTCACTCGTGTCAACGAACCAGTGGGACTGAACAACCTGTGGAAATAGGTTGTGTTGAGGATGCATAGACACAGTAAGTAGAGTAAAAAGTAGACCAAAACCACTGGGTACCGGCTTCAATACCCCGCACCCGCAGGACGGGGCAATGGATTTCGTCGTTCTGTTCAAACTCTCTAGACCGGTAGACTCACTCTTAGAAAAAAGAGAGCGGTCTGACTAGGAGAAGTGGGACGCCTACTGCAGGAAGTTACGGATAGAAACCTTTGTATCTAACTTATGCTGGTTCTCCAGGGAAGTGAAGCACCTCGATGCAGGCCTCCACCCCCTGAGGGTATCGGTAATGACAGCGAAACCCTCAGGGAATATACTGTTGATGTAACACCGACCAGAAGTCACAGACCCTTGACTCATGAGAGTGAAACCGGATGAACCTTGGGCCACCAGAGAGGCTGAATGAAAGCCTTACTTGGTGATCCGCACAAAGCTAAAAGCATGGTCGTTTATGGAATATCCGAACTGGTGGGTGGATCCACTGTATGATAATTACCTCCATGATGTCGAGCAGTGGAGGCGGCTAGCGGCAAAGGTGGGACTCGGAAATTTGCCTGCCAGCAGTGTAATCAGATTACCAAGGCCAATGGACCTGCAATGCGTTTGCTCACCAAGATCGCTAGCTGTACGTTTCGAGTCGAAAGCGTCACCCACAGAAGCTCTCAGCATGGTACTGTGTAAGAGATCAAATAGCTGGTGCTAAACCGTGCTGCCAACGTGAGCCATGGTCTACCAAACTGGAAAATAGGAGGCAACCTCCGTAGTACTACAAGCAGTACTCGTCATAAAAGGACTACTTGATGGACTGCCCCTAGACGTAGCAGCGAACAATACCGTCACAATATCACCAGGATGCCAAGAGGGACCAGACAGCAGGGGCCTGCCAGTCAGTAGGTACCGGCAGTCGAAATCTGATGCAACTGCACACCAGTCTCTAGGCCAGTCCCAATATCTCACTAAACCCAGTACGTAGCTTCTTGAATTGCTCCTAAACCAATGTAACAGGTCTAAGGAGTAGACTACTGGAGCTGAGAATAACGTGCCATAATCTGCAAGCAGATGTAACTCTCATCACGGAGACATGGCTCTCATCAGACATCGTGTATGAGGGAATATCTTTGCCTAACATGATCTTGTTCCGAAATTTTAGAGGGTTCGAATAGGGCGGAGTCGTCATGTACATTAGAACGCGCCCAAAAGTCACGGGGGCAACTGATATGTGGTTAGCTTACTGCCAGACTCTTTATGGTGCTATTTCACCACAAACCAAACCGAGTATCTATTAGGAGTCTTAAATATGCCTCATCCTTGCACTACAGAGCGTAAGGCATGATTGTTCAGCATCATTTCAACAACCACCTAGGGGGGTCCACAACCATGCAGTCCTCACTAGAAACTTTAGCATCCAACTCCGGATGTGAAGTAAGATGTGGGTGTAAGTGTTTTGAAGTTAGACTTTGAGTCAGAGGTGTTCCTCTGTCAACGAAAAGTAGACTACCATCTCACGAACAATGAACTCCAGGAGGCTGCATAGCCCCTAGAATAGCGCTCGCCATCTGAAGACGAGCACCGGAGACATAATAAAGGTAGTACCTGGAGCGTTATCGAAAAAGGTGTTCAGAAATCAACCAGACTGCCACCTCTCAAACGGCCTTTGTTAACTAGCGCAACCCGAAGACAAAGAACGAGTATATGCCTTATGGGACGCTATGCTGAAGGGGAGTAGCCGCGGCTACATCAGTCGATCCCTTCAAACGACTACTGGATGAGTACATATGTGCAAATCACTTACCACGAACGCTTTCAGTAGCAACTGGAGATATGCTCTTTTACCCCTGTATTCCTCAACACTAGTATCGGCAGTAAGCGCTTCCCTTCTCCGTATAATTAGCAGTAACATTTATCTCTTCATGAGTGCTTTACCCTCCTCTTTTCCTCATTCTTCATCACCCGTTTTCTAGCACTTTCTAATAAACGCTCAATACTTACTTGCAGGTGCCTACAAAAACAGAAAGAGCAAACGGTTAATTGATCTTACCAGCAGTTCTGTTGCCACCTAGAACAAACCAAGCTACAATTTGCAAATAAAATACCTTCAAATGGCCGGTAACTACCTCCAAAGCTATAAGCAGAAAAACGTGAAGACTTCTGAAGCCGTCGACTGAGTGTAAATGAATGTAATGTGCTGAGTCTCAAGACCTAAAATTGAGAGATCAGAAACTAAATTTTCCTCTGCTCGCAGTATTGATGTTAGATGTTTTTGAATTGAAAACATGGAGCGTACTTGAATAAGACGAACGCAAAAACAAGGAACCATCACTCACTAATTCAACAACGTGGAATTTGAGGTTTGATTGTTGGACAACCGTCAGCTTTGTTTAGAACATCCAAGAATTGTAGTACTCACAGTGCGCGCGTAACAAAAGTGTGATTTCAGGTGTTGAAGTGTCCAGACGTTATCCAGCAATTTTCGTAAATTGCCTTCGTAATTGGATATTTATATAATTGGGTATATTGTTGACTGTTCAGGTCAAAAGTAAGGCTTATGTAGAAAGTAAAGTTTAATTCTTTCCGCCACGATGATATTTAGTATTCAATTCAACGTTAGAAAATATCTAACTTTAAGGACTCTTCATATGACGAGAAGTCATCTTACTTCTGTTTACCAACTCATTTTGAATCCCGTTTGAACTTTAGGGTTCCTAAACGTCAAGCGCACCCATTCTTACCTATTTAGTAATCATTAAGTGGCCTTTTAGCAGTCTGCATTTGTTTTCAGGTAATGTAGTGGCGGATATGTCTTTTCATGGGTTTTCGCCTAATCTTATTGGTTAATTACAGTATGGCTGTCTCATTATTTAGTGACCTAGCGCTGCCTAGTTTTATCACTACTCGTGATAAAGCAATAGGACGACTGGGTGTAGTCGACTACACGCAGTTTCTATTTACTTAGATATTTCAATCGTTATTCATTATTTCGTTAGTTATTTGTAATTGTCATGATTGATTTCATTAACATCTGATTGTTGTCACTTAAGTAACTCTAAATAGTTTCTTATTGAATACGTAACAGTTTAAACGAATGCCTCCTTAACAAACTGGGGATGATATCACTAAAGTAAAATATGTGAACTGTATATGTACCTCTTTGATTTTGAGATGCTTCAGTAGGTAGATAGATATCAGAGTTCAAGTTATTGGAGACTTTAAAAACCCGTCATTTCAATTTGTTCGACTAGATTGATTTTACTTTGTAGACATAGAGTAAAATGTGACAATTTCGGATTAAGCAATACTCAGAATAATATCTGACGTAAAAGTGATGAAATGACAAAATTTGGGGGAAAACATAAACTAATGACTACATGGGACTAATACAGTAAATTACTGTCCCGTTTCATAGAATAACAGTTTACCACAGTGCCTAAGTTTTACTTTGACACTAAGTTTTGAATAGTGAGCTAGTGAGAATGACATTGGCGTTGCTGATTCTTATGAAGCAGACAGATATCGTCGTACAAACTCTCACGAAGTGCACTTACTCAAGTAGCTACACTTCACGGTACCATGCAAAGAACAAGTAAGCTGAGAGTGAAATCACACAGAAGTACATGAGAGGAGAAACATTTTGAAAAACGAAGGTTGCTGAAAATGTTCGAACCTAAAAAGATATCAAATGATGAATGAACCTACGCAACTGTCATCGACTTTTAGTCGTCACCAAGTGTCTCCAAGCATTTATTCCCATTATCTCAGGGATCCCAACCAAACAGTCCGCACCTCCCCACATGGGTCTGAGACTTCATGGACTGGTGCTACATCTTTGTCTGGCTACCCTGAGTCTTCCAACCCAGTCCTAATTTAGCTAACGATGCTAGACGGGGTATGCAGTAGCTTAGCCTACACAAATTATGTTCAGTCCATCTCAGTCGTTTAGGGTTTACAGCTTTATCGATTAACTTGTATTCTTTGCCTAGTACCCTTCGTATAAACTCGTAATTACTCATATGGTGATCCCACTAGACGTGTGCGATGCTACGCAGCCTCCTGTGGTTGAACACAATCTCATACAATCTTTTCTTGGTGGTCTATTCTCAAAGCCATGTATTAGGACAAAGTAGACTTAACGTAGTGTGCTCTTCCTTCAATAGGTAGTCAGAAATCTGGCTAATGCCAAAGATAACTCGTTCAAAAATGCTAATCAGATGTTTCGTTTTCGTGTTGAAATCTCGTGAGCAACCAATCCGTTTTGACCAATTCAACTTTTGAAGTAAGAAAAGTGCTGAACACATTACCTCACTCCTTATCTTTAAACTAGTAGTTAGTTCAGATCAGTCTTTCCACTCAAGGCTTTCAGAATTCTGCATTTTGTCGTCTCCTTCGCCCAGAAAAACATCGTAGTTCATCGATTGAGGTGGCTTGAAATTGTGCTGCGCATACGAAGCGACCGCCTGCATTGCTAGGAGAAGTTAGGTTAGTTTGAGAGGAGCTCAGAGTTGCCAAACCAAGACATGACATCAGTGCATAAAGTCTCAAACTACTGGTCTGAGCCGTGTTGGGAGATATAGAGTATATAAATGGGGTCGCCAAGACGAAAGGAGTCAGTGATTAAGGAATCTTGGTGACGTGACTGAAAATCGGTTATTATGGTGCAAATGTATTCACTCTTTGCCATTTAAGGCTTGGATATTTACACTAACCGTTATCTTCAGATTGTTTATTTGCTCAGAGAACTTCGTCTACTTTGTCACTACCCTATCTATCCACGTGTTCTTTCTGTACTACTATGAAATGTGGCAAGTGGAATCTCTGCACCTGTGTTCGAAGTTTTACACTGATTTGGTCAGTCGTTCTAACAATGAATGGTCACTGTTCAAACGAAAAAGTTGGCCCTTATGACAGTTTGCATAACCTTATTTCAAAGCAGAAAGCGGCTAATTGCCACTGAATAATAAAACATTGTATTTCGATTTAGCCTTTGTTTATGTACCGGACTGTACGGCTCACTTACTTTCTGAGGGCTTCTGATACTACCTAGTTGCGTGGGTTGGAAACATGGAATGGGATTTAAATCTGAGATCGATTGCTCTAGTCCAATACTGAAACCAATATGCTACACTTCTGCGAGCTCAAATTTGTAAATGCTGTCTAGTTAGAGGGACATTGAAAATTTTAGCAGTTAATTACATTTGATTTTACTACACTTTCAAGCTTGATTCACGACGAAATCTCTCGTCAACCAGCTTGGACTGCTTTCACTATGATCTGCTTAAGCTCAACATTACAAGTATTTTTAGATGTTTGTATATTTTGTTCTGGAACATTGGATGAGATATTAGTCTTAGTGATTCGGCATCCTCAGGGTTGTGAAGTAAAATCAATGCCAATGTAAGCAATGTTTCTGTGGCAACATTTATAGTAGTTTGCCTGCTGACCAAAACTTGCGGTTGAAATAGATTTTAAGGTTTTGCTGAAGCTATTGTTTTAAGCGTAAAGTGTTTCGCCCCTAAATATCTAATTAGCTCTCGTTTCCAAGACTTTATTACCGGAAAACCTTTTATATCATAAATTACTATCAACTTTTTGGGTTGATAACTTGTACTTAGCAAGAAAACTAACTGATTTCTTTGGTTTCAGCTGTTGCAAAAGTCATTGAGATCGTGATGGCTATATGTCAGTAAACTATTGTGTTCTACTCTACTGTTGTGAAAAGTATCTACTGAATATAGACATTTTTTAAAACCTTCAGGTACTTCCCTAATCTTTTCTTCGAACCATACTATATATGTTGAAGAATCTCTAAGTAAAGAGAACCATTGAAAACCTGGGGCACTGGACACCTGCTTCGTCCCAGTATGGCACTTCTCAGCAATACACACTCACAACTCAACTAAGGATCGAACTCAAGACCTTCAGGTTTCACGGTAAACGCGCTAACCATTCTGTCAGTAGGTCGGAGTTCAGTGGTCCACAGTCCTCTACTTCTGTGAATTCGCGATATGCGATTATCAACCAAGGTCTTTAGTTAACATCCGCTTCACTTTCAAAAAGTTCTAATGAGAAGCCGTGACCCCACAGGTCACGGCTATTTTATTTTTATTTTTATTGCTACCCAACTGTTTAGACCAATTTCAGTCTGACGAAATCACTACTTTTTAATTTATTTGCTTTTCAGGAATTCAGGGAGATTCCAGTACAGGAGACCCCGAATTCAAGGATTTGAAGTCCTTTACCCTTTCTATACTGATATTGGAGATTGAACAGTTGATTATCAGTATTATTTAAGACGACTTAATGGATAAGAAGAAACTTGATTTCTACTTTTCTCTCCTTGAATCCAGTATTCTTTGTTACCAGGTAATGTTAAAGCTTCAGATATGTATTTATTTTATTCTTTTAGCACTCTATCACTGGACTGATACCATCTTCACCGAACAGTACACATGCATGGGTGAGGGATAATACATATGCTTCACTCTCAATATGGGGTCTTTCTCTAGCCTACAGAAAATTACCAGATGTAGATGAAGATCGTTGTCGTAGTTATGAATTAGAAAAGGTATTTACAAGTCTTATCATAAATATTATAGTAGTGTGTGGTAAAATTGATGCGTGGAATACTTATCTGTTATATGAGACAGTCAGAAAAAGTGGAAATGCTAAAAAAGACTCAAGATCCTTTACACTCTTTACATGCAAAGTATGATAGTACTTCGTACAAGACAGTTGTTGGTGATCGTGAATGGGGTCATTTACAAATTGATGCAATATCCGTCTTTCTTCTAATTCTTGCTCAAATGACAGCTGCTGGTAATTATTGTAGATGAGATGATTTTTATTTCAGGCTTACGGATTATATGGACACTTGAAGAGGTTGCCTTTATTCAGAATTTAGTTTTCTGCATTGAACATGCATATCGTATACCTGTAAGCAAATATATCTTATTAAGAATTCTCAGGATTATGGAATTTGGGAACGTGGAGATAAAACTAATCATGGACTTCCAGAACTTAATACAACATCTGTTGGAATGGCTAAAGTAAGTAAGCCAATTTTTATGACCATTTAACTTTAATATGTTAATAAGTTTCAAATATCATTATCACTCTCATCAGCAATTACCCTAGTATCTGGCACGGCTGCATATCGATCGATATTGCTGTATTCTGTGTCAAATCAATAAGGCGAGATCGAAAAACAACGTAAAAGGAATGGTGGTAGGGTTACTAATAGCGGCAAATAAACGGAAAATAGACTAAGAACTATGACAAGGTACAATATTACAAGGTCTGTGAGTGTATTGCCGGTAAATATGATAAGGATAAATTAGTGATATACAAAAAGATTAAAGTAGAATTTGACATAAGAACCCATAAGTTTAATTGAATTTGGGGGTTTGTAGGGATTAAGTGATTTTTCAAGTTGGTATTCATCATGGACTGACATCAATTGGAGGAATATTGGGAGCCTGGGAGCACTGGACGGTTGTTTCGTCCATGTACGGGACTCTTCAACAGTGTGCACCCATGACCACCCTCCCAGGGATGAAGCCCGGGACTTCCAGGTTCCATGACCAGCACGTTACCACTAAGTCAACCAACTGGGTTGGAGTCAAACAATCCATATTTTCAACTTCTGTCAGCTCACGACATAGTACGACCATCATCCAATGTCATCATTGAGTATTTGTCTTCACGTCCATAAGGTTTGCCCCACTGGTCATGACTTCTCACTGGGACTTCAGGAATCACTTCTCAAAGCTAGTCACCAATGAGCACTAGATCAATTGAATTTAGGGGTTTGTGAGGATTTAATGATTTTCCAAGTTCCTCCATGTTCCTCCAACTGATGTCAATCTATGATGAATACCAACTTGAAAAAACTGTCAGCTTAAGTTGCGATATTTCATAATAGAAGACAGGATATGAAAAGAATGCTTTTGAAGTAGATAAAAGTGTATCAGAGAAGGTGAATAAAAATGATTGTTATTGAAGGTGACAAAGTGTGTACATCTGTACTATTATAATCGATTTGGATTCATATCACCAAGAGTCACCAAACGTAGATTTCTGTCATCTTGAGGAACCCCGGCCAGTTAGCAGCCCACATCTCTCCATACAACTCAGACCAATAACCAGAGACTCAATAGGTTGACTTCATGTCTTTATCAAGCCAACCTTGTCTTTAGTCTAACTTAATTGTACCTCGTCTAACATGATGTTTCAAGGTACAGGGGCAGTGATAGGCATATGCAGGGCATATAAAAGCCACCTGACTTCTTGAAGGTTCACAGCTCCATCAACTAGCCTAACTTATTCATCTAGTAGGTCTACGCCTGATCTCTTATGCGAGAAATGTGATCTCCCTCTAGTGAAACATGTAGTTTGTTGGTTCCTTTTTCATCATGTATTATACGAGTACGAATTGCTGATTGTTTACTACAGCATGCTGGCTCTAACTAAATTTGAACATCTTGTGAAAATCTGATAACTATAGCCACTGAGTCATTCAGTCTTTTCTCTTCACCATGTAGCTACGGTTCACTGGCCTAACCCTTAATTATCGCCTTACATTTGACAGGTGTAAAAGGTATTGATTGCTACCGTAGTGGGCGTTATTGATCAGAATGGATATAAGTATTATATGTTGAGAGGGCTGCAGAAATCATAGGGAATTACCAACAATGGGTAAGGATTCTGCTCAGAGAAGCGCAAGAGGAAATGCGGGCGTATGGAGAGCAAATGAAGATAGAAGCAGAAGAGGAAATCAAGCACATTATGCGAATGACTGTCTTTGATGACTACTGTGCAAGATGTTAATAGTAAACATTCCTTCCTGCGTCTCCGTTTTGTCGTTTTCTACACTGTACTCTCCTATGAATGTATAAAGAACAGTGGAGAATATTTGTAGCTCAGGTAAATGGTCTTGGTTGTATTATGTTCTCTCAGCTGGGTTGTTCAATCGTGAAGCTTTCATCGTCTTGCTAGACGACATCATCAGCACTAACTTCAATATGAAGTGAGCTGTCGATATCTCTCCGTGAGTGATTTAGTAGCTTGAACTGGCGAAGTGGTCTGTGATTGATTTTTTCCTTCCATTGTTGTGTCACTGACAGACTATAGATTTTCCAGTTGGCTGCTCCTCTGCTTCACCTCTCACCTTTCTGCCTTCTATCATTTTTCTCATTGGTTGGTAGATTGGGTCTATGTCTATACACCTGTTGATTGCTGACTGACTGACCTGAATGCCAAGCTTATAGGAATTCTCTGATATTGTGTTTCCTCTCTCCATCCAACATTTCCACACTGTCAAAACTGAATTCATCTCCATAGCTGTCATCCACGTGGACTGAAATGAGTGATGAAATGTCATGTGTGACGTTTAACAGCCAATTGATGTTCATATAGACGAAGGAGAAGAGGGCGACCACTTTGTCCAATATAGTGTTGACTATAGTTATTGCAGTTGATTTTGTAAATGATATTCGGTTTATCTTTTTCGCTTGTTGCATCCTTTGGTTTGCATAATAGTGTTTAGAGGGAATTTGTTGGTTGATGAGCCACATTAATTCCAAGTGGTTTCAGTAATCTTGTTGTGATTTCTGATATATCCTTTATGTATGGTAGGAGAATGCGTTTGTTGATTTCTGTCGATGACTTTGTAGCTGGTAATGCACGGGATAGGCATCTTCTGATAAAGTTTCGTGGGTAGCCGTTCTTCTTTAGAATGGACATCAAATAATTTTTTTCGTTTCTCTTTGAAGTTGTTGTACTGAAGTGTGTTCTCACTCTTTTGGAGTGAATCTGCAAACAACTGATCTTGTGGGTTGTTGCTACTATAGTTAAGGATTTGATCAGTGTGTGTTGGCTTCCTGTACACTTGGGTTTCCAGCTTTTCGGCATTTATCCTACTGACTAAAAAATCCAGGAATGGTAATTAGGTGTTTGACTCCTTCTCCATTGTGAATTTAATGTCATTGAAAACGTTGTTGATCAAACTATGGGTGTTTTCTATATCATCTTTTTTAATGAAGAACAAAATAAGAGTCAGAGCTGGACAAATTGAAGTGACTAGGAATGTTCACAAAAGTCAATGAGTAAACATAACTACCTAAAATATTTACGTGTTTTCTTCAGTTGTTTATCTCAGAGATATTTGTGAATCCAGTAAAGTAGTGAAAAAATATGAAGTGAGAGTTTAAAAAAGATAGAAACAAAACATTATGATAGCTTGTTAAATGTTCAATATAAAATAATTCATACTTTCGAAATGCATTTCTCAATTTTATTAAGGAAAGAGGTGAGAATATATGCAAACTATAAGTGTCAAAGTACAGGCTACAATACCAACTTACTACTTTCTCTACTCAATGAAATACTAATAATATAAGGTTCTGACAACTTATTCTCCCTGTCTTCAACATTATTTTCCTTCTATGAAGTATAAGAGACACACAAATCAACAGAGAATATGGTACAGAAGTGATTGAAAGAATATACAACTCTAGGATTTACTTTAAAGCTGATGAGTTCATAGATGAGAAGAAGATAAGGTTGTTAAATGTGAATATCTTAACGTATGATAACGAATAACTAGTCACTTGAATATCACTTCCATGCTAGTAAGATCCATAAGAGGGAAGGCAAACTGAGAATATCAGATTAATTAATCAGGAATAAACAAAAATTCCTAATGGAACATAGGGCTTCAGTATCACTTCGCCATTTCACTCTCTTCTCTCTTCTCTGAAATGAAGTCGATCTGATTTTTAGTGTGTCCTGATGTCTGGTGATATCCATATCGCTTTGTGAATATCCTTGTGCTTGTACACACTTCCCCCAATCACTAAGTCATTAAATGCACTGAAGTTTGCAAACAGTTCTCCATTCTCATTCATTTCACCGAGTGCTTGTCGACACATGATAAGTTCTCTTCCAGTGTTTTCCGCTCCCAGTTTGGGATTCATGTTACCCATTAGAATTTTGATGAGGTCATCTGTGGTGGGGCCTTGTGCATTACTGATTGCAGTTGTCTGTAGAATTCCTCCTTCTTCTCGTCATCTGCATTATTTGTAGGTGCGCAGTGTAGCCATTGTATGATTGTGACTTTCCTTCCTTCCTTCCTTTTGAGTTGAATCTTGCTATCATGATCCTGGAGGAGGATATTGGTTGCCACTGCATAAGAGAGAGCCTTCGATGCTCTTGGGGGGAGGGGGGGACATCATGGTAGCCACTCGATAACTCAGTGTGCTGTGCTCGTGGTTGTCGTCTGGGTGGCAATGTCGGAGTAGATTATTGACTCTCTAGTTGACAGTTTGGAGTCCACTTCCATTACATCCGCTGATTCCTCGCAAATTCCTAACACTTGATTGCGATGCCTTCTCATCTCGTTTGAAATCTGGGCTGCCTTGCTGGGTTCAAACATGTTGTGGACACTCTATGTCCCCATGTTTACTTTTGCTTTGATCGAGAGAGTGAGAGAGAGAGAGAGAGAGAGAGAGGAGACACAGGGGCCAATTGGCTTCCCGAAGGCTTTCACCAACTGGCATTATTTCGTCTCTGCGATCCGATTCCAGCGAGGAATAAGTTTGTTTATATTTTCTCTGTGGTTTGAAGTTTGTTTAGCTATTGGATTGGTTTTTTGGGGTCATGTTGCTAGCCCTGTGTCCAACCTTCCCTCTTTAACCGGCTAGTAACCAGTGAACTATTTACTTAGGCGAAGTTTTACACACACTTTGGTAGAATGTAATTGCAATGTAGTTAATTTATTTAGTGTATCATACAATGAAACATAATCCAGTAAATAATACTGTTCCTCCATTGTGTGTGAGATGCATTTAATAAATCAATTAAAATGGAATGAAATACATACTGTTATCATTTTTATACGGGATTTATCTCATCGGACTCCCGCCTTTAATTTTTTTAAGGTCGACTATTCGTGTTGCTTAACGTTTCATACTTACTGATTCGATTTTAGTTAATTCATCAGATGTATCTCACACAATAGAGAAACAGTATTATTTACTGGATTATGTTTCGGTGGACATAACTTATTGTACATTGATTAGTCAGTGTTTGAGGGTAACCAACTTCATATTGTCTAGTTCTATTTGCTGACCGAATTCTACCAATCATCTTACATTGTGAACACCAGATTAAGCAGTTTAGCATCGTGATGCACTTTGATAGGTGTCAGTTGGATGGAGGCAGTCGGCAGGAAGTCCTGTACCCCTAGTTTTTTTGCTTGTTGGCACTCGTTAGCAAGGCGTTTCTACAACCTCAACGGAACTGATGTCCCACCTAAGATTCGAACCTGTGCATAGTCTAGTGGCCACACTGCAAGATAATCGATAGAATTCGGTTAGCATATGGAACTAAACAACATGAAGTTGGTTACCTTCCAGTGACCAATCAGTGTACCCAATCCAGTCGCGGTTCAAATAGCTCAGTGGTAAGGTTGCTGATTACAACACTGACGTGGGTTTGAGTCCCAGACAAGACATCAGTTTCGTCGGGATTACAGATACGCCTTGCTGACGAATACCAACAAGTACGAAGCCTAGGCTGAACCGGGATTCCTGCCGATTGCCTCCATCCAACCAACACAATTTATTGTCCATAGTTATATCATCTTGATACTGTTGAACTATGTGTGATACATCTAACAAATCAACTAAGATGCAGTTACATTCTACCACAGTACTCAAGTTTTACTCTTATATTAATGTCCATCTCTCTATTTTCGCTCTGACAAGTAATGCTCATGTGAGATGTAGTTGATGATAGTCACAACAAGATTCAAATCAATAGTCTCTTACTAATGAGCTATGAACTTTAACGACTATGTCTTAAGACAGCTTATAACCACTTTTTCTATGGATTTCAATCACTGATATAGTGAAGCTGTAGCTCAGTGGTCACGGGTTTGAGCGCTGCTTTAACTATCGAGGTTTTAGTAACCAGGTAGTATCACTAGCCCTCAGACAATAGGTGTGGCTCATTGCCTACTGCGCAGATATGTACAAGATGTCTGAGTGTGTTCCTATTGTATAAATCAATAGCAAATGATATTAGCACTGTTTATGAACATTCCTGTGAAAAAATTGTGATCGTACACAGAAAAGTACAAAAAAATTCTGAATTCGCAGGCAAGGCAGGATTAAAACCTTGAACAATTAAATAATTTGTAAAGTATGCTTATCAGGATATGGAAGAAGGACAAGTAGGTATTTCAGCGAAGAGTCTCTTTTCGACGATTTTATTTTCAACGCTGTACAATCAAAATTATACCTCTTTTTAGTGTAAGGCTTTGATAATTAAAAACGGTTTGTCAAGTATGGCTGGCAACAAAAACATTGTCAATAAATAGGCTGTGATTGAAATTGAAAAAAACAAACTGATGAGTGGTGAATATTAATCAAAATAAGTTTGGACAAGAAGATATTTCGTAACATGATGACATAATCGGAAACTGAATTATGATCAGACAAAGTATAGCAACAAGAAAGAAGTGATTTGTGCCAAAACAAAAGAAAAAAAAGGGGAGAAATGATTTCAGTGATTAAAAATTAAGACCATGAAAGGAGAAGGGGTTGAACGATCTTTTTTTGTGTACACATTTCAGTTTCCTCCATATGGATGGCAAGAGCTTTGGCGATGTAGAGAATATGAAGACATTATAGCCTTTGAAAGGTTTCTTTTCACTTTATGGAATGACTTTGAACGAGGAAATTCTTGAGATAGAGTGATTCGTGTTCACGATGTGTTCAATTACAGCACACCTTATCGCCTCATTGTTACCTCTTTGTAACTCCGTGGGATAGTGTCCTTGGAACCTTCTGAATAACAGTTGCATCGAACGACCTATATACTTGGCTTCACAAGAGCAGGTGAATTGGTATATGCACATAGAAGTGGTTAGATGCGAAAATTTCTCCTTTGAGTTGTTAGGTATCGTTGCATGAGAAGAGAATACTAGTCTCAGCTTTGATGCAAAAAATGTTCTTCTTAGAGCGTTTGATATCCTCCTTTTTAGAGTATCAGAGGTAGAATCACCTTTGAAGTTTAGATTCATGTAGAATGTCTTTTTTCGGCTAGGTGGTAAGGTTCTTTTTGGGAGGTATAGGCTTGATGTTTTTGTCTATGAAGCTTGGTGGGAATTCGTTCTTCAGAGTAGAAATTTCCTCTTCTAACACACTGGGACTGAAGCTTCGTCTAATACGAGTGGCAAGAGATATGATTAGATTTCGCTTCTATATACCTAAATCAATTTTATATTTTACATTATATAGCTTAAAAGCCAAAATAAAGTTAAAGGTAGTATTCATCATGGACTGACATCAGTTGGCGAACTATTGAAAACCTAGGAGCACTGGACACCTGTTTCGTTCTAGTATGTGACTCCTCAGCGGTGCGGACCCACAACGCGACTAGGGATCGAACTGAAACCCTGAGGTCTAACGGCAAACGCATTAACCATTCAACTACTGGGTTGGTTTTCAGTGGTTAACAGTTCCCAACTTCTATCAATTCACGATATAGCGTGACTATCACTCATAGTCTTCAGTTGGCATCCACTTCCCTTCCGACTGATTAACCCCACAAATCATGGCTTCTTATTAGAACTTTTGAGAAGTGAAGCGGATACCAACTGGAGACCATAGATGATAGTCGTAGTATATCGTGGATTAACAGAAGTTGGAAAATGTTAACCACTAAAAACCGATCCATTAGGTGAATGGTTAATGCGTTCACCATGAAACCTAAAGGTCCTGAGTTCTATCCCTAGTCGGGTTGTGGGTGCGTACTGCTGAGAAGTACCATATACTAGGACGAAGCAGCTATCCAGTGCTTCTAGGTTTTCAAACGTTCTCCAACTGATATCAATCCATGATGAATACTACCCCTCTAAATTAAAATCCTCATTCATCTCTAAAATATAGTTCATTTATTCCCTATAAACTCAGGCAGCTTTAGAAGCTCTTACAGATTTGGATTTATTTGGTGCAGATGGAAGTTATCTATCAACAATTCATGTTTCACTTGATGATTGTGAACAATGTAATATAGCCATTAAAAGTATGCTTCCACGAGAATCTAATTCTAAAGAAACGGATGCTGGATTAATAAGTATACTAACATATCCTGGATTTTCTGTTACAAATGATGAATTAATTGAAAGTACACGTAGTGCAATTATTCGGAAACTTCTTGGCAGGTGAGTAAAAATATCTGAATAAAAAATTGAGTATTTCTTTGGCAGATTGTATTAGATTTGTTTATTTGAAATATATCATGCAGTGGTACAGTAGTATTTACTGGATTACGATGTAGATTTGTGACTCAGTTGTTTAACGATATGGCTCATCGCCTACTTCATGGATGTGTACGAGGTGGCTGTGAATACATTTCATTTCCTTTGTTCGTACATGAAACTAATACTCAGCTACTCCTCTGTTAATCTCACCAATGCTCTACTCGTTTGTTAGATGGTAGACTTAAAACTACTGCTTAGAGTAAACGTGGTTACACTACATGATAGTTTCTATATTCGATATGTGTATTTTTTCTGTCCAGTTGTGACTCATCTTTTCTCCTCTTATGTTTAGTATCTTCATACTGCTTAGTTGTGGTCGCTATCCAAACACGTGCTCGATAAGGAGCGGCAGTCTTCCACCGACTCTCTCCAGCGATGGCTGATGTCACTATGGTCTGTCTATGTCCCCAGTTGAGTTGAGGTCAGTGCACTCCGCGCTAGAAAATGTCTTTCCTTATTTCTGAAGTTCGTATTGGTCTGAAATAAGTGGTTATCTGAGGACAGTTGTAGTGGGTGATCGCTGTTATCTGTTTGCCTGCCATTCCAAAAGTGCCACCTGAGTGCCTTTCTCCTGATGTGTAGTCTTCCCCTTTGTGCATTGAAATCACTTGTAACAAATACCAGGTCTAAGGGCTTGGCTTTCAGTAGGAGACTAGACAGTTTTCGGTAGAACTCATTCTTCACTTTATCCGAGCTGCGTAAGGAGAGATTACATAGCGACAACGGTGAGTTTCACCACCTTTTTAGTCCTGATTGTGCCGTTCAGTGGAACAGCGCATAGGCGACTGCCATCTACTATCCAGTCGAGTAAAGGACTTTCTGCCTTACTGCTCAATGCTATGTGGAGCTGTGGCTCATTGGTTGGTTTAGGGCGATGATTATCAACCAGTAAGTCACACGTTTGAATCCCCCTCCACCTACCGAGGTTTGGGCAGCCAAGTAGGATCATTAGCCCTCACACAATAAGTGTGGATCATTCCCTAGTGCATGGATGTGCCAAATGTAGCTGATATGATGATGATGATGATGATGATGATGATGATGATGATCTCAATGCTATGCATACACCTGCAAGAACGCGAGAATTAGTCATTAAATATCCAGAAACTCAAAGTTCAAATTAACTGTTTGAGGTTAAATGAACGACTGCACTTAGGTCCTGTATATGTGTCTCATGAACACAGCACATATCGATGACCCAAGTTGCTAGATTTTTGGCTAGGGAAATTTGTTGGATGGTATGACGGAGGGTGCAGATATTGAAGGCTGCAATATTTAGATTGGAGTGCAGTTTTAAGAAACCAGAGATGCTGTTCTATAAACTCATCAACGGCTGCAAAGGAAAAAGAAACCGGAGTTGAATTGTTAACAGAGAGGTATAGAGAAATGTTAGAATGCAAAGATGTGGAAGGCCGAAAATGATCTGGGGGACTTGAAGGCTGACAGACTTATAAGGGCAATTGATACTTCCATTCTACCCACTCTATGGAAGTTTATTTCTTTTTAAGGTACTTAGCGTGAAAGTCGTATTAGTTATGGCAGTGCGTGACCGTAGATCCCACGGGACATTTGCTTGAGGCCGATCGCGTAAGACGTTTTCGAATTTTTGAGGTTTAACTTAAATTTTATTGAATCCCTCCAGAAAGCCTGTGCTGTAGGCTCTGGAAAAGGTCATGGCAATGATAAGTGAGGTATTTATGGACTGACTTTTTCTAACTCCCCTTCCCATTGAAATGGCGGCATCAGCACAGACTACTGGTCATCCAAGGAAAACATCTAACTGATATAACACCCCATCTAGACAGCAGTACATCTTCGTCTTTGGAACCTTGTCATAACGTAACGATTTGCACTATGGCAGCAACTGTTTTCTGCCTTACCACTTTCCAACAGAGCTCCATCATCGTTTATTGAGTCATTGTGGTAAGCAAGCCCGACAACTACATCAAAGTAGCAGCTGTCAGTCTATTTCACTGGTATTCTTTTCGACCTCGTTTTTCTTTTTGTATTTTCTTGTCAACTGTAGCAGCATGAAGTGACGTATATCCGTGCAAGGCCCTATGTTGGTCTTTCTCTTTCCGTAAATATATTCTGCATGCTTTTTAAGAAATCGTAATTTCGGAATCATTCTTACGTTTTCATATGTTCTTCACTCTGTGGAATGCACTATATTACGTGACACTACAATAGACAAATAAACAAGTGAATCTTCATAGTTTTCAAAGATACACATTCTTCAAGGTCATTTGGCATATTGAACCCAACTATGAGGTTCTTTTGAACCAAACTGAAAACAACAGACTAACTTTTCAATGTAGTAAGATGCAGAAGGGAAAGGTATAGATGCACGATTATAAGTAGTTGTGGATATCCCATTCTACAAGACGCTCCTTCTGAGGACAACGTTCCGCTTCTGTGGTTCATTGGATTGTGCACTTGTCTTTCGTTTAGCTAGTTGTGTTAGCTCAACCTTAGCTTTTGCTAACGAATTTCGAATGGTCAAATAGGCGCATAAGCTTCACGTGGTAGTGAGTCACTGCCCATTACATGAATCAATACATAGTTTTTCAGTCTTGTATACCCAGTATCACGGCAAATCGTTTAATCTTCTATAAAATCGAACTGACTAGGATCTCATTTGAAATGCTGTCTTATGACGTGTGCAAAAATGAAACAGTATAGAGTCATTCATACACGGAAATCCTCTGATTTGCTTAACGCACTTAGCAACAAAAACGAAACGTTCTAGTTTGTATTATCCCGTCGTTGATTACACTGGGAGGCAGGTACATCCGGCTGACGAGTCCGAAATAGGACGAAATGCACGTCCAAAAGTAGGATATTAATAGAATGTACAAAAGGATAAGAATAAGTGACATGCAGTAGATATACATAGATTAGCAGGATATTGAGCATTTACAGGAGGATAAAAAGTGACTGTGTTACCATTGTTGTTCTCATTTTTGATCAAAACCACCTTTAATTTCTGGACACTGATTTCTGATAATTCGAAGATCCAACTGAGAAACCTTGCAAGGCTTAAACTGATGAACAAGAAACCTAACCACTGGTGTCACACTTTCACCTATCCATTATTACTTTTGCTTTCAACCTCTTCTTACACTAGGGAAAATAGCACGCTGTAGTAGACAGTAAGTCGTTGTGCCTACCAGATAATCCAACTTTTTCAATTTACAACTTTACTAATTGACTTTCTTGTCTAGAAGTTGATACACATGGTCGAGAACTTGAATAGCTTATTTTGTTGTCTCTATGGATGATTTAAATTTGGAAATACCAGGACAACTGTAACTATCCATCCAGGTAGCTTATCTTCTGATGGCTTATTAGGACTTTTGCATATGTGTTAAAGGTCAATGCTTTTCATCACTTTTTATTGTTAAACTAGGTATGGGAGAATTGAAACTCATAGCCTAGTATACCAATACCTGTACGGGGTTGAGTTGCGTTGCAGTTTTCTACTGTCTCTTTAAGACTTTTGGTACCATCTGTTCCCTGAAGCATCCAAATCAATATAGGACGGCAATGGTTCGAGTTGCCACAGCTCATATCAGTACATCAAGTAAAAAGTCAATGAAGTGGAAGATGAAGAAGGGAAGAAGATTCAGCCAAGAGAAATATATGAAGTAAAAAAAGAGAGAAAGGAAGAATGAGAAAATGGTGAGATTCGGTATAGCGTCATTACGATGAGTATAATGTGTGTATACATCTGGACCACTGACATCGGTTGTGAGCCATGTCGTCTCCTGGAGTCTTCAACCACTGGTTCCTCTTGTCGCGCGGACTGCAACCGGCTAATTTGCATTGCCCCACATGGCTCAAACGAACAGTCGAAGACTTCATGCATTGATGCCATGTTTTAGTCTGGCCGCTCCAAGTCTTTTTCAGCCTGAACCTACTCTGGCCAACATTGTGTGACCAGATAGATGGTGGTTGGGGATACGTAACACATGTCCCAGCCATCTCAGTGGATGAAGGTTCACAACTGTGTCAACTGACTTACCTCTTCTCGTTGAAACTCAACACCTAATTTCTGCGTTACTCACGTGGTGACACGACGGAATACGGCCTATACTACGAAGGTAACGGTGGTAGAACACCTGAAGTCTTCTCATGTCTGTTACTTTTAGGGGCCATATTTCATAGCCATACTGTAGAAAAGAGCGGAATGCTGTGTAGTACATGCGAGCCTTAATAGGCAATCGGATATCACGGTGGTGCCACAGGTGGCGTAAGTTGGCAAAAGCCAGCCAAGCCTTTTGTATTCGTGTAGAGATTTCACCGGTCACTGAGCTAGTTTAAAGTTGATAACGCAGTCCAGTAATTCGTAACTCTATGATATCAAATTTGTTTTCGTGTATGGAGTGTTTCCTAATCTGATCATATTTCCGAATCATTATTTAACTTCAGGTATGGTTGTCGACGATTTCTACGTGATGGATTTCGTACTGCTAGAGAAGATGTGAATCGTTTATACTACGAACCTTGGGAGCTACGTATGTTTGATGGGATTGAATGTGAATGGCCGATGTTTTTTGCCTGGCTTGTGATTGATGCAAGTTTTCGTGAAGATTTTGACGATGCAGACCGTTATATGCAAATGCTTCAAGAAGTTGTTATTCCAGAGGTACGTTTTATTGTTTTCATATGCTTTTTCTTCCCTCATTGTTCATTTTTGTAACGATGGGTTAATAAATTTATAAGGTTCGTTGTAAGCACGTTATTCATACGTTTAACTCAGTCCATATTAGTTCGGTAGCCACCTGTGTTTTAGATGTAACTTGTAGCTGACTTATACCTTGACTATCTTTGCATGGACCACATAACCGCTTTCTGGAAGTTGGCATTATAATTGGATCGTTTCAGAGCGATCGAATATTGGCAATCTGCGAAGGTATGGTTCATTGGTTTAGGCAGTTGGCTTACAACCTATGTGTCATGGATCTGAACGTTTATCTACCTTCTGAGGTGTGAGCAGTCAGATAGCAGTATCATAAGTCCTCATTACCTACTGCACAAACGCATACGTGGTTGCTAAATAGATTTCAATGTTTACTTCTCGTCTCGAGTATTTTGCAATACCTTTTAAGTGCTGTAGTCACTTCCCTGGATTAAAGCCTGATGGTCGTGAAGACAGTTACTCAACGATGACATTGGGTGGCGGTTGCGCTATATCATGAGGCAACAGAAGTTGGAAATATGGACGATTAGATTCTGACCCAGTGGCTCAATGATGAAGTGCTGGCCACGGAACCTGAAGGTCGCGGGTTCGATCCCTGGAGGTCGGGGTCGTGGGTGCCCACTGCTGAGGAGTCCCATACTAGTCGGACGAAATAGCCGTCCAGTGCTCCCAGGTTTCGCTTGTTCCTCCAACTGACGTTAGTCTACGATGAATAACAACTTGAAATATCATGTTTCTCTTTGAAAAGAGTCGAAAGTAAGTCATGTATGTTATGTAAGATACGGCTTCCTATTACTTGTAATTCCTATTTCATTTCTGTTTTTTTAAAAGTGAGCCGCTGTTGTTCAGTCGTATTTATTCAAGTTACAGCAGCCATGAGGCAGTTTAACGACTTTTCTTTATGATTACTTAACGTATGCAAAGATTTTTACATAGTATATTACCTACCATACATCCTGTCTCATTGACACCAAGTGTTTTGGGGTCAGTAGTATGAATAATATGGAATAACTTCTGATGGTATTGAGATACAATTGCTTCTTTCATCTCGATCATGTGTTGTGGTTGCAAGCTTCACAGCTTCTTTTTAGGCTTCATGAAATTTCTTGCCTTAAAAAAAGGACCCTAATGTATTTATAATCGATTGGAATAGACTAGTGGTTATATGAAAGCTATGAGGAATCTAAAAGGGGGAGATCTTTCTCAGAACTTTCTGTAACTCTATCCATAACCAGCCTTCGTCTGTGCCAAATGGATAAGCAGCCAACCAGTTGCAACGCAAAATTCAACCGTTTATCAGCATCGATCTACTTGAAAGGATGGTTTTAAGATCATCGAAATGCAAGATGAGTCTGATGTACATTAGGTCGTGATAATAGTCAGCGTAGATATTAATAAACGATCGACAATTATGAACATGTCTACACCTTTTAGTAGCTGACTGCGATATAGTATATCTGAATACACACCCGAGTAATAGATACAAAACTACAGTAAGTTTTTGGGGAATAATTGTGTCAACAGGTTTTTATTGACTAGTATTAGGTAGGCTGTTTAGAAAATGACTCACTATTCAATCTTTAACAAAGCAGTTTCCCTGTCCATCTGAACAACGGCACCGTTCTAAACGGGCTGGTTGTTAACGAAATCGCAGTTCGGATACAAAAGACTCATTTGGCATTTGGCAACTTGTGTCATCTGTGGCGCCGACTAGCGAAATATCTGACTATCTGTCAAAGGACGAGTATACCGTGCTGTAGTCTGTTTCGTCATGTTGTATGCCTGTGAGACAGTGCCGTTAGAAGTAGAAGAAATGAAGCGATTACAGGGTTTTGATCACAGATATATCTTCGTAGAATTGCTAATGTTTAGTGGAATCACCATGTCAATGATGTTGAAATCAAGCGAAGGGTACTAGGCAAGACGGACAAGTCGACTGATGAGTTTGTGAACCTTAGTTGACTGAAATGGCTTGCCAAGTCATCGCCTTTCTCGGCTTGCCTTGTTAAGATAAGTTGTATTAGGTTAGAAGAGGGTTCAGGTTGCTAGACCAAGACGTGGCGCCAACCGGTGTAGTCGCTGACTGTTGGTCTGAGTTGTGTAGGAGGATTTAGACTACCTCACTAGTATCCTCGAGATGACAGAAATCAGTGGTTGAGGACTGTTGGTGACATGGCTGTAAATCGATCAGTGGGGCAGATATATTCACTGTTTGATGTCTTGTAAAGACTAAGTATTTATGCTAACTGTTATCTTCCAATTATTTATCCTCTCAAACAACTTTGTCTACTTTGATGTCTTTTTCTCTCTCTCTTCACCTGTTCTTTGTGTACTTCTATGATGTGTGGTAATTTGGACCGATACACTTGTATTCAAGGTTCTGTCTCGTTGATTTCGTCTATCTGGCTGAACAACTCTCCACTGTCCATAGATGCTCAGTGTGCACATTTAAGTCTTTATATAAAACTACGATATCTGCTTAACTTCGATAGATCAGTCAGTTCATTTAATCATTGGTTGATCTCGCCATTGATGGGAATTTCATAAATCGAATCTTATTTTAAGAACTGTCATACTAGGTATTTACAGGAGGTTTCAAGGTAGATCGCTGTAACGGTTTGTTGGGATTCGTAGTTTAGAAATGTAGACAAAAATTTGTATATGATTACTGAATCATGTTGGTTCATTTGAGTAGTTAGACCTCGTGGTATAGCTCTAAATACATCATCACCAAGTAAACGTAAATCGAAAATGAAAGACTAGTTGGATTGGTATTCATACTTTCCAAGTTATCAGTTAGCGGATTTATTCACTGTATTAGAGTGATATTTTGAATGCTAGTCTCTAAGATAGTTTCCCTCATATTTTAAACAAACTTGCATTTTGAAGTGGTGGGGAATATTTGTAGCCTAGATAGATGGTCTTGGTTGGGTTGTGTTCTTTGAGCTAGGTGGTTTAATCGTTGTCTTTCTAGACAACATCCTTAGCACCAACTTCAATATGAAGTGAGCTGTCAGTATTTCTCCGTGAGTGATTCAGTAGCTTACTCTGACAAACTGGTTTGTGATTGGTTGTTCCTTTTGAGGTCAAACAGAGGAACAGCCAATAAAAAAAGCTATGGAGTCGATGATACACCAAACAAAGAAAACAACCAATCACAAACCGGTTTGTCAGGTCAAGCTGTTGAATCACTCACGGAGAGGTAGTGACAGCTTACTTCACATCAAGGTTACTGCTGATGATGTTGTCTGGAGAGACAATGAAACCTTCACGATTAAACAACGAAACTCAGAGAACACAATAAAACCAAAAACCTGCGTTTTATTATATGTACACAGCATAGTAAGTCTTCTTTATGATAATAATTATATTTCTTTTTGCAATTTTAGTCATCTCATTCACAAATAACCTTCAACAATAGTAGAAATGCAAGTCGTAGAGCAAGTGAAATAGCCCCTCAAATGCCAAGTAGAACATGTTATTTTATGCCAGAATCTTATTCCTTGCCGATACAATCGATTGATGCAGAGATTGCTCATCCACATACACAAACACGTATGCCAGTTGGAGCACTACCACATATATGGGGTCAATCATTATACATATTGGCAAGTATTATATACGAAGGTTTACTGTTACCTGGTGAAATAGATCCACTTGGAAGACGCATGGTATGTATTTTTTAAATTTGTTTCTAAGTTAAAAAGATATCTTTTTGTCCTTTTTTTCACTTTGTAGACGAAATATTGTAGTAGTTCTTCTATTCCACATAGATTATTTAATTCTGGCTTACTTTACCTACTAAATAATCTGTACTATACTTTTTTGTATGCAATACGTGTATCTTATACCGTGAAACACTTAATCATGATTTTAGTGATCATACCGTTTTACGGTAGAACTAACATGTATCAAAGTACATGAGTTCATTTTACTTTTGCTATGAATCGATACTGTCGTATAATATAGGCAGAAGATGAATAGGTAGTCGGCTCAGTGACTCTGTCTGTCATATATATAGCATTCAATTTACTCAAATTTCTACTTCTCTTTCCATCGCTCCATCTGTATATTGAGTATTGTTGACTTTAAACTTGAATCGTTAATATTGAGGTCTTAATTAAGTTGCTCGGTATATATTTTTAATTATTATTATAAAACAAACGTGCTACAACAACTGGATAGAGAAATGTATCACATAAACTAATATGACAGCATTATGAAGACATATTGATTGTGGTCGACTGGATCATACACAAAACCGTGAGCGGCGAGAAGATGGGTATACGCTGGCTACACCGATGAAAAGACCCCACAAGAAGATTTGGATTTCCCCGGTGATGATTTATGTCTAATGTCTTGTCGCACAAGCTCGAAAATCTACAGGTGGAAACCAACAAGTTGGCAGAAGAGGTAGGGCAGCGAAGAAGGGACCTTCTTCAGGTGAGCATAGACAAGACAGACGTGATGAATATACCCAACCAACAACATCGACAACAACAAAACAACAACAACTAGCACCAATCACCATCAAAGGAAGAAATCTAAATCAAGTTGTCTCTTTCACCTACACCTACCTAGGCAGGGCAGCATCGTTTCAACTACAGGCGGCAGCGGCGGCGACACAGATGAGGATGTCAAACCAGCCAGGATCGGAAAGACATCAAGACAGGCCTTCCTGCATCAATCTAAAATCAACCAGTGTGGAGATCTACACTCCACTCCACTTCACTCAGCATAGAACGTGGACAAGATCTGGATTCCCAACATAAATTCAGTCAAGTCAGTCAGTGCTTCTATGTGATGGTTGACAGACTTGGTGCGTTGCGAAAAGCATTTCCAACAAACTGCAGACATACATCACATCAATAGCTACGACCTACGCTCGATATTGAAGAAGGAGATCAGATGGCCGGAATAATAAGATTGCAAGATTAGAAGGAGCATGTACCTGCGCTCACCCATAGTGGTGAGCAAGTGGAAGTAGTCGGTGCGCGTAGTTCGGCTCTACACTTCTGAAACCTGGCGTTTTCAAGCGTACGATGTGCGACGACTGTGTCTATTCAGTCATCGTTGTCTCCGAAGAATCGCTCGTATACAAGTAATTCTGAGGTACTACAGCGAGTTTTTGAGCATGATGGAGATAATCATTCAATAAGTGAAGTTGTCTAGAAATACTGACTTCCGTGAGTTTAACAGATGTCACACCTACCATCCCAAAGGCTTTCATAGGGTTTGTTGTTCGCTAGCCGCGAAGATCTGCACTCAGCATGTGAAACAATATCCGGATTTTCAACACCAACGTCAAGTCAGTGCTTCTGTACGGCTCAGAGTCTTGGCGCGTTACGAAAGGCATTTCCAACAAATTACAGACATTCATAAACAACTGCCTACGTTGGTTCGATACTGAAGATCAGATAGGCAGAAAGAATAAGCAACAAGGAACTCTGGAAACGAACCAAGCAAGAACCTATCGCTCAACAAATATCCAGAAAGAAGTGCAGATGGATTGGGCATACACTGAGAAGGCCGACTGGGGACATCACGCGCCAGATTAGGCACTCGAGTGGAATCCAAAGGGGAAACGACGAGTTGGGCGTCCCAGTTGAGGGTGACATGGAGGAGATCGTGTGAGGAGGAAATGAGAGCTTGTGGGCTGCCGTGGAGCCAGGTTCAAAAGATTTCAGAGAAGAGAGTGGAGTGGAGACGTGCTACTGAAGCCCTATGTTCTATTAGGAACCCAAGGGACAAATAAAATAATCATAATAAAAGCCGTGAGACTGGATGGAAGAAGTGAAGGGGTGATCAGTGTATGATTTGGCGCCGTGGATTCAAGGAGGGTTGTATCGAGTTAACATCCGTAAGTGCATCACGACTCCCAGGATGAGGTGCAAGAGATCATGTAACTCAGCTCAGAATTGAAATCGATAGAGGTCACGCTGTAGCATTCTCCTATATTCTGTCGCTGATGAGTAATGGGTGGACTGCCATTCTAAACATTCTATTCTTATTGTTTTGATTTTATCCACTTCTCTACGCTTTATGTCTTCATTATACCATTATTAATTGTCCTTTGGGTTCCTAGTGAGACATACGGCTTCAGTAGCACGTCTCCATTTCACTCGCGCCTCTCCAGTCTTCTCAACCTGGCTCCACGACTCCCCACAACCTTTCATTTCTTCCTCACATGATCTCCATGTCACATTCACTTGCGACGTCCAACTCGTCGTTTCCCATTTTGGCTTCCACTCCACGGCCTGGCCTAGAACATGATGTCTCCGAATGATTTTCTCAGTGTATGCCTAATCCAATCGATCTCCACTTTCTTCTACTGCAAATTTGTTGGCCGATCAGTTCTCGGTTGGTTGGTTGCAAGCCAGGCCAGAGTTTCTTGTTGTTAATTTTCATTATTCTGGCCATCTGGTCTCCGTCTTCAGTGTCGAGCGTAGGTCGTAGCTATTGATGTGATGTATGTCTGCAGTTTGTTGGAAATGCTTTTCGCAACGCACCAAGTCTGTCAACCATCACATAGAAGCACTGACTGACTTGACTGAATTTATGTTGGGAATCCAGATCTTGTCCACGTTCTATGCTGAGTGAAGTGGAGTGGAGTGTAGATCTCCACACTGGTTGATTTTAGATTGATGCAGGAAGGCCTGTCTTGATGTCTTTCCGATCCTGGCTGGTTTGACATCCTCATCTGTGTCGCCGCCGCTGCCGCCTGTAGTTGAAACGATGCTGCCCTGCCTAGGTAGGTGTAGGTGAAAGAGACAACTTGATTTAGATTTCTTCCTTTGATGGTGATTGGTGCTAGTTGTTGTTGTTTTTGTTGTTGTCGATGTTGTTGGTTGGGTATATTCATCACGTCTGTCTTGTCTATGCTCACCTGAAGAAGGTCCCTTCTTCGCTGCCCTACCTCTTCTGCCAACTTGTTGGTTTCCACCTGTAGATTTTCGAGCTTGTGCGACAAGACATTAGACATAAATCATCACCGGGGAAATCCAAATCTTCTTGTGGGGTCTTTTCATCGGTGTAGCCAGCGTATACCCGTCTTGTTGCCGCTCACGGTTTTGTGTATGATCCAGTCGACCACAATCATGAAGATGACCAATGATAGTAGGCAGCAACCTTGTGTTACTCTTGTTCCCTATCTTGCTTCACTTCAAAGGCATCAGTTAGCTTTCCATTGTGAATCATTTGGCATGTAGCATGATATAGCGTAGTAGATAGCTGCTGTTGAATGAGGTTGACAAAGTTTTGTGGCACTAGAACCGTATTGTTGAAACAGCAGTTTCCAAGATACTTCTTGGTCGACGCTGTCGAAGGTCTTTTCAAAGTGTATGAAGTTGAGGTTGAGGTTGAGGTGAGGAGTTGACTGTGATTCTGTGTTGTGTTGTATGATGGTGTTGATTGTAGTGTTTGAATTTGATCCACACATGATTTGTTTTTCCTGAAACCAGACAGCCTGCCTGTTGTGGTCGTAATTATGAATCCAGAGCATCCGGATCAATGTATACTGCCTACCAAATATATACTCTAAGATTTATTCACGATGGTCAGAAGGTCCTATATTATATCAGCATCTCCACCTTTTCTGAAAATGTCATTCACGCACTCAACGTTATTTCGCTCCTAACAAGTCAGAGGTAGGTAAAGTCATCTTGATCAATATATCTACAACAAATCTAGTTACGAACACAGGGATTCCTAGCTGGGGTTACTGGTTATGTTCATTTCAATTGACAAATCTCTATTACCTTTAGCATGATTTATTGATGTGTATCTTTCTTGACTCTTTAGTTAAACTTAGAAACTACCGTAAAACTTCTTGATCAATAGAGTTGACAAACACATTCAGGTCAAGAAATAAAGATAACATTTGACACAGATAATTATTTATGTGTAGTTGAAGTTATCAGAAAGTGAAAATTTGATCAATACACTTTCGTTTAGATCTGAAACTTACCTGATTTTCTTAAATGTCTTTTTCTGGAATTCCAATTAAATATGAAATGATTATACATCTGTCTACCGTTGGCATTGTTGGTTACGCTGATTCTTTGCTCTCTTATAAGCCAAAATAATCAGCAATGTAGATCAGTGTAACACACCTACTTGAACTTTGCGCTACCAATGAAATGTTCCACCAGATATATTATATCAAATAATAACACAGCGAAAAAAATAGGTTATATTGGACGAAAATGAACCTTTGAATGCCATCCATTCATCATCATCATCATCATCATCATCATCATCATCATCATCATCATCATCATAAAAGTCAACATATGTCCAAGGCATTACTGCGTGACGGTCCGAGTTGTCACAGCTCATATCAGTACATCCAGTAAAAAGTCAATGAAGTGGAAGATGAAGAAGGGAAGAAAATTCAGTCAAAAGAAATATATGAGGTAAAAAAAAGATAGGAGGGAAGAATGAGAAAATGGTGAGATTCGGTATAGCGTCATTACGATGAGTATAATGTGTGTATACATCTGGACCACTGACATCGGTTGTGAGCCATGTCGTCTCCTGGAGTCTTCAACCACTGGTTCCTCTTGTCGCGCGGACTGCAACCGGCTAATTTGCATTACCCCACATGGCTCAAACGAACAGTCGAAGACATGTTTTAGTCTAGCCGCACAAAATGCACAAAAATACATCATGTTTCAGTCCTTCGGATATCTGTCTCGTATATTACATTCTTCCATTGGCCAAACAACGGACGATAATCCAGCACAAATCAGCTGCTTCACATGATTACCTTTGATGGTGTTAGTATGAACGTCATTCAGACGCCATAATCACTTTGGTTTGGAAACATTCTTTTAGGATCACTTATACAAGTGATCTGTTATTCTGTCTAAGGCTAATAGAGTTCAGTTGATACACACAGATCTTGATTATTCGTTACTTTTTTTCCAGTTTGGTATTCATCATGGACTGATATCAGTTGGAGGAACACTGAAAACCTGAGAGCAGTGGACAGCTGTTTCGTCCTAGTTTGGGACTCTTCAGCAGTGCGGACCCATGAGCCGGCCCCATCATGGATCGAACTCACGACCTGGAGGTTCCGTGGCCAGCACGTTACCATTGAGTCACTGAGTCGGCAGGATCCAATGGTCCATACTTCCAACTTCTGTCAGTTCACACGACATAGCGCGACCACTCAATGTCGTCGTTGAATATTGGTCCCCACGACCACCAGATTTGAACTACTGGTCACGACTTCTCATTGGAACTTCAGCAATCACCTCTCGCATCTAGCCACCAATGAGCAGTAGGTCGATTTTCAAGTTGGTATTCATCATGAAAAATCACTAAGTCCCCCAAAATCGCCATATTCGTTGCTTGTTAACAGTAGGTAACTCCATTTCTTCTCACTAATTAGCCTTCTTAACCTGTTATATCTCTTTCTTGCTTTCATTAACCATAGGTTACTGAGCCAAAACCTGATTTATCTGTACAAGTTGTACTTGTAGCCGAAGATAATGATATTAAAAATCAACTGATGGAATATCAAGTTGATGTTCAAACATTTGAAGAAATTTACAATGAAGCTGGTATCAATATATATCCTGCTAAGATTCTTGGTCAACTATACAAACATTTAGGTAAGCTTGTTAAAAGCATCATTCTTAATCATATATCATATTGTACTTAAAGGTGAGATTTTGTCGGTGAACGCCTTGACGTCATTCTAGTTATCATCTTCAATACCACGTTTTAAAAAATCTGATGGAACCATAAAATTTTGATATCTTCGAGCGATTATCAAATGACACTGAATATAGTTGTTTAACAATATTTAAAAACTTATCTATATTTGTGAATTTTTCTAACCGCCTAAAATCGAAATACGTACGACTCTATGAAAGTAAACTGTGTGAACTGTGATAGAGACGATAGATAGATAGACGGCTATACGTCACCTCTGCAGAAGGATTTACAGACTGGAGTTGGAAAATTAAAACTAGTCATCAAAGTCACTAGTTTGTATGTTGAGTACTGATCTGCAGGCTTTAAAGTAAAAATCTTGGAAATTAAATCATAAGGCAGCAAACAAACAGCTAGTAGGTTATCTTTTCAAACCTGGGGCGATAGATTTAGCGGGATTCAAACCCGTGGTCGAGAGTTGAACACCGGTATCAGCTAACCATAGCTCCACTGTTGGTTTTAGATGATAAATATGATATTATGCACTTAGAGGTTGTTAACTTTTACCTACCTTGCTTCAGCTACTGATGTATTGGTCAGTTAAGTGCGGCTCATTGGCGCCTACTGCATGAATGTGCACAAGGTTGGTGAGTTGAGTTCGATTGTTGTAGTCTTTCTATTTACTTGATTATTTTAAAGACTGTGTTCTCATCATCAACGCAAATCAGTCACGTAATCACTCGTAGGCAACCAGTGGACTCTGTTCACTTGTCACATTCTAATCCAAAACCTTCAGTAGCGATTATACTTACGGGATATCTTTGTTTGCGCAGATAAAACTCAAGCCTTACATGTCTTGCTACGGCTTCATTGGCTGCCTAATAACGTTTATATTACTTTTGACTTAATATTTTTGATTTGGAGTACAGATTGATTGACAGAATGAACGTAGAACCTCGAATACAGGTGCTTCGGCTCAAGTTGCCATACTTCACAGTAGTACACAAAGAACAGGTGGAGAGAAAAAGAATGATAACAAACTAGACGAAGTTCTGTTACAGAATCAACAATCTGAAGATAACAGTTAGTGCAAAACTTCAAGCTTTCAAAAAGTGAATACGTCTGCGCCATCGTTACCAATTTTCAGCCATGTCAACAACAGTCTTCAACTACTGATTTTTTACGCCTCAGGGACTCATTGACACAGTGATTCCATCAAACGTGAGAAGTGCTACGAAGGCATCTGTGATCGTGACCCTGTAATCGCTTCATGTATTATACTTCCGACGGCTCTCTCTCAGTCGTACAACAGATCAAAACGGACTACAGTGCAGTATACTCGTCTTTTGACAGATAGTCAGATGTCTCGCCAATCTACGCCACACATGATTCAACAAAGCAGATGCGAAATGGGTCTTCTATATCCGAGCTGAGATTTTATCCTCAATCAATTTGTTCGGGCTGATGCATTTCCCTTAGTAAGTAAGTGGCCCATACATTTCACCACTTCCCTATCATTAAGCTGGGAGTACTTGCAGCAGACCAATCCTGCAGCATCATCTGCTACGTATACTGCGCTGCATTCCATTCTGTCCTGTTGTATGACTGTGAGATAGGGCTGTCAGAAGTAGAATACATGAAGCGACTACAGGGTTTCGATCACAAATATCTTCGTAACACTGTTCACATTCGGTGTAATCACCGTATGAGCGATGTTGAAGTCAGGAGGAGAATACTAGGCATAACAGGCAGATCCATTGACCAGGTTATGAACTCAAGTCGAATGAGATGTCTTGGAAATATGCTGCGCATGTCGAGCCTCTACCTACCTCGAGGTGCCACACTGGGGGAAGTTGTATTAGGTTCGAAGAGGGGATTAATGGTGCCAGACGAAGACGTGACACCAGTTGGTGAAATCTCTGGCTATTGTTCTGAGTCGTGTGGGGAGATGTAGACTGCGTGGGTGGGGCTCTTGAGACGAAAGGAATTAATAGTTGAGGACTGTTGGTGACATGGTGTAGAATCTATTTCAATGGCGTAGATGTATCCTCACATTATCTTACTACTTTTTTTACCTAACGTATTGATATGAGATGTGGTGTGGCAACTTATATAGCTACACAGAGTATTACCGGGTCCCGTGTTGATAATGCTTTTCCATCTGGTCCTATACTGAACTTCATATGAATAAGGCTTGGCGCAAGTAAAGGAGAAATGAAAAATAAAAGTGTCTGCGTGCGAACGCAGAATGAGATGTCCAGTAATGGTCTAGTAAATGTAATATATATGAAATTGTACAAATGTGTAGAGACAAAAGTGATGCACTCTTATACAATTACAATCACAAAGAAGGGATAAGCGAATATGTACAAGCGGTTTAATACTTCACAATTCAAATGATTGCAGTAACATGTTGCTTTGGAATTTGTCAATTCAAAATTTTGTCTAAGTAACAGTAAATAGCTTCATCTGTTACATTTGTACGCCTAGTTCAGATTGTTTAAGCTAAAATTATTCCGACTTCTGTTGTTTGGAGTGTTCAGTGTCTAGTAGTTTTTCATGATTTCAAGGTGGTTAGCATCACAGACTGACATCAGTTAGAGAATCATTTCAAGTTAGCAACGGGTCGTTGTTACGTGTTGTTGAGGGAGTGTCATACCACGACGAAATGACTGTCAAGTGCTTCCAGGTTTTCACTTGTTCTCCAACTGATGTCAATCAGTGATTAGTGTTACTTGAAACAGGTATTTTCTAGTAATTTTCATATGCTTCATTTCTAGGCATTATCTACTGTTCTTTGAGTTACTGTCACAAGGCAGTGTGAAAAAGTTTGTTCATTTTCCAACCAAAATAATTTCGTTTACTTTTTCGTAGTTCTTCGTAAGCTGGTATTTTGTTTGTTCATATGTGTAAACATTGAGTTTGGTTGTAAAAGAACTGGGAGTATCAATTCTGGCTCTATCTTGTATTCGATATATAACTGTAGCGTGAAGGTCAAAGTTGAACTGTTGATCTGTTCAAAGTGTCCTAGCCACCTGTCTTGGAAGGTTATCAGCATCCCATCCTTTTCGGTGATGGTTTCACTAACCATCTTCTTGCTGAGTATTCTTAATAATCCAACCTAAGTAGTTGATGGATGTCAATCAACGCTGATGCCTTCTCCATATCTGTTGCTTTCGTCACCCACCACTGCGCGCGATCGACGCGAAGACTCCTGGTCAATTTATGTCTAAGTTGATTTCGTGGTCCATCATCGTCAAAGCCAGCTGGAATCAGTCTTTTCGCATCGACCAGTTTGGATGATGTCGCGAAAATCCAATGGCGTTTGTTAACCTTCGGGTGTAGGTTACCAGTCGTCTTTACCACTGTCTCTACTACTGACTTAATATCTCACCACACCAGGCTTCCTCAGGATGAGCATTGGTGTCACTTTCAGATAAATGCTAAGCTAACTCTTCTGTAAATGGTTACTTGTCGTCCTCATCTCTCAGTCAAGCACAGATGGGCTTCACTGCCTCCCGTTTCCTGAGAACAGTAGGACACAGACGTACACGAGCTCGTACCAGCACGTGATCGGAGTCCAAACTGTTACTCCAGAAAGAGCGGCTGCCCTCCACCGATCCTCTCTAACAGTGGCTTATAGTAATGTAATCTATCTGTGTCCACCGTTGGTTTGGAGCCGGCAGACGCCATGTGAAACAGCGTCTCTCCAATAGATGATGTTTGGCATGGAGGTCAAAGTTAGTTAATGTTGCTACTCTTCGACTAAGTATGTATCATAGTTATAATCACAATAGGGAGTTAGTAACGTTTAATTATGCATTATTATATTTAATTCATCCCTCCTCATTATAAATTTAGGTGCTTGCGAAAAGCTTTCTTTAAGTGGACGTTCAACTGGTGAAGTTGGCATATTTTCAACCAGTCAATTTTATCGATTAGGCGATGAAACATTAGCTTTCTTACCCCAGGTCAGTATCAATTTCATATATATATATATATATATATATATATATATATATATATATATATATATATATACTACTGTACTATACTATATGTATACTATATATGAAATTATGAAATTTGTGTCACACTATTTACTGTTTTTGTTGTGAACTGGAAAAAGGAAAGAATTTCTCTTTACATATTTTCTTATCTTACCTCACCTTTTTCTCTCTTCTCTTAGTAATCACTTTTACATGTTGTGACTGACTGACAGACTGATGAAATCAATGTAGAACTTCGAACATAAGTGTATCAACTTAAGATGCTAAACTTCACAATAGTATACAAACAATAAATGGATGAACAAGACTGATATCATAGTGGATAAAGTTGTGTGAGAGAATAAATAATTGGAAGATAACGGTCAGTGCAAATATTTAAGCTTTACATGATATCAAGAGTGAATACATTTGCACACCATTGTGACTGACTTTCGACCGTGTTACTAACAGTCTTCAACCATTGATGTTTTTCGTCTTAGGGACCCAAAATGCACACTCTACATTTCCCCTACACGAGTCAGATCAACGGTAAGAGACTTCATCGACTGGTACCACCTGTTCATCTAGCCATCCTCAACCCCTCCTCAAGTGTGACAAGGCAACGTAGGTAGTGTCTGTCTCGGCACGCGGAGCACATATCCAAGTCATCTCAGTCGACTAAGGTTCACAAACTCATCAGCTGACTTGCCTGTCTTGTCTAGTATCCTCCACCTAACTTGAACATCGTTGACATGGTGATTCCACCAAACACGATCAATTATACGAAAAGATTTATGGTGGAAACTCCATAATGGCTTCATGTCTTGTACTTTCAACGGTCCTGTCTCACGGGTATACTATAGAATAGAACGGACTGCAGTGCAGTATACTCATCCTCTGATAGTTAGTCAGATATTTCGCTAACCGAAGCTTTACATGACGTAAGTTCGTTAAATGGCTCTTCTGTATATGAGCTGAGATTTTATTAGCTACCAGGTCTTTCAGTCTGATGCAACTCTCTGAGAAAGTAATGTAGTCGATACATTCCACCACTTTGTTCCTTGTCATTAAACTGGATTACTTACAGCAGACCAATCCTGAAGCATCATCTTATACTTGACAAGTGACAACGAAACACGTGCCATACACACTTACGTATACAGATTGTAATTCTTACTATGTTTAGCCCTTGGCGATGATTTGGTCATTGACATTCATCATTTGACATTGTGTTACATTTTATTTAATGTCCTACTGTTGAATCCCAACTACTAGGATAATGTGAACCTATTTCCCCTGATTTTTGATCTCCATTTCGAAAACTCATAAATTTAACTTGCTATTAGGTTCAAATCTTGAAAATGTCTAAGTCATGTTATCATTTAATTACCAGATGGTTTTTTGGAATTTTTAGAACCCATCAAAAGTTGAAAAAGTTTGTTTGATATATATATGATTATGTTGACGCGAAGATAATTAACATCGGTATACCTAAGAAATGAACTACTCTTAAGATACAACCTTTATTGTATAGTTCATCTTTAGTAGTAATACCTTCTACTGTCAGACAGATAGAGTGACCATGAGATTTTCATCGGTACCATTATTGGCGGATATCTTTTTATCCTGTCTTGAAACAACCGTAATTACCTTAGTTATCATGGAGTCTAAAGCTTAGAAAAAATGTATCGATGATATATTCATCGTTTATGACTTCAACTGACAGAAAGTACTACAGTTTTTCAATGAATGTTACTCTTCAATTAAAATTATGCTCTAGGATACATATTGATAGTGAGAAACTTAAAAGATTCATTCATCGAAAATATATACGAAATGTACAAAGAAATAAACTTTCATATCTGGATTCCTACTTACTGAAAAATGAAAATATAATCTATTCTCTTTCATCTTGAATCCGAAAGATTTTCTTTTACTCCCGTTGATCATCTCTAAGTAGGGAGATGTGTGTAGTGAACAAACTTCAATTACGAGCCCACTTCTGTATGGATATATGATGTGATATTATCTAGTAGTGGACCACACATGGGGTCAAATTGTTTAACGAGAATGTTAACACTTTATAACATGATCAACAGCTTCATATTACAATATTGAGTTTTCAACAGATACTTAGCTCCAGAAGATTTACTTTGCTACTAGTCTACAAATTACAACATAATCTTTAGACAAGTTTGTGGAAATGTTCTCTTTGTACTGTCGAGGTTCCGCCAATTCATGAGCCTAAGTAACCTTTTTAATTTTCACGTTATCATTATTATTTGTCCCTTGGGTTCCTAATAGAACATAGAGCTTCACTAGCACGTCTCCATTTCACTCTCTTCTCTGATATCTTTTCAACCTGGCTCCACGACTGCCCACAACCTCTCATTCCTTCCTCACACGATCTCGTCCATGTCACCCTCAACTGGGACGCCCAACTCGCCGTTTCCCATCTGCATTCCACTCGAGTGCCTAACCTGGCACGTGATGTCCCCTGTCGGACTTCTCAGTGTATGCTCAATCCAATCCATCTCCACTTCCTTCCAGTTCATATTTGTTGAGTGATAGGTTGTTGGTTGGTTCGTTGCCAGCCAGTCAGAGTTTCTTGTTACTGATTGTCATTATTCTGGCCATCTGATCCTGAGTATCGAGTGAGTGTAGGCGGCAGTTGTTGATGAATGTGTGTAGTCTGTTGGGAATGCATTTTGTAACGCGCCAAGTCTCTGAGGCATACAGAAGCATTGACTTGACTGATATTGTTGTTGAAAATCGGGATGTTGTTGACGCTTAATGCTGAGTGGAGTGCAGAAGATCTGCACACTGGTTTCAGATTAATGAATGCCTGTCTTGCTGTTTTTCCGATCGTGGCTGGTTTTGAGGTCCTCATCTATGACAGGCAAGGTTCACGTTTTTATTATGTAAACATTTTTAGCTCAGTTACAGATTTCTCATCCTTTTTTGCTCTGAAAAAACGTCACAAATTCTTTAATTTTTGATTACAACTCATGATTACTTTTCTACGATCCCTGACCGGGTTGTAGATGTATACTGCTGAGGAGTCACATATTGGAACGAAACATCTGTTCAGTGCTCCCAGGTTTTCAATGGTTCTCCAACTCATGTCAGTCCGTAATGAATACTACCTCAAAAATTAAAATCTTTATTCATCTCAAAATAAGTATCTTCGTGTTTCTTAATTAACTTCGCTTCCTATATTGATTTTCTGTCGAAAACCTACTTAGAATATGGGTTATCATTTCGACAATGTGATTGAGATAGCGGTGATTTAGCAGACTACTATGAATATAGATACTGGGTGGCGATTGAAGGTGAGATGAAAGTCTGGATCGCGGAAGGATTCGAACCAGCGAATACTGAATGTCGTAGGTCAATTGGTAGAGCACGGGGTTAGAAACCTGGTAGTCACTGGCTGTAACCCCACCACGGCCTAAATTCTCATTTCACCTTCAATCATCATCCAGTATAACTGCTAAGAATAATTAATTTTCAGAAACTGATATTTTTTTGCTACTAAATGTGCATACTAATTATACTGTTATGCGATTGTACAGCTGGGGGTGGGGTGGGAATGGGATGATATCACCGATAACAAATTTTTTCACTTAGAAGGCCTTTATTCAACTTCTTTCACGATCAAAACTTCCATCGGTTGCCATTGGTGTTTAGCATCATTACTATTGGATAGTAATTACTGTTTTGTAGTTTCGTAATTATCATGGTGCTTCAATAAATTAGATTGCTGTATATGAGAGGATCCAGTGTTTCGTTGTTTTGGGTCTTCAAACACATCTTTTCAAAATGTAATACTCGAAACACCATCAGGATCTGAGTATCGTTTTCTAAAAACACAATACTCGCTACTTAAAAGGATATCAAAGTTGTACTTTTGTCTAAGTCTTCTTCTTGATCAGATGTTACGTTTCGACTCATCGCTATAACTTCCCCTTTTCTGAAGACGATGGAGAAACTACTTCTTGCGATTGAGCTTTCATCGATGGTTTTCAGAGATTCAAAACAATTTGCTTACAAACACACGAGAAGTACTTTAGATGCTGCCACTACCTTGCATCATAACATTGTTTCTAGTTTAGACAAAAGTGTTAAGTAGGTTCGTTGTACCTTTTTGGATTACTCGCCTGGTTAACTAGTTCACTAGTTACTAGCCGGTCCTAAACCAGGATAAAGAGAGAAAGTTTGGCGAAGAGCTAGCAACCCTTCCCCAAAAAAACCAATCCAAACGCTAAACAAACTTATTCCTCGCTGGAATCGGGGAGACGTAATGACACTAGCTGGTGAAAGCCTTCAGGAAGCCAATTGGCCCCTGTATCTCCTCTCTCTCGATAAAAGCAAAAATAGACATGGAGACATGGAATGTCTGCACCATTTTTGAACCCAGCAAGGCAGCCCAGATTGCAAACGAGATGAGAAGGTATCGCAATGCAGTGCTTGGAATTTTCGAAAGCAGATCGAATGGAAGTGAACCGGAGAGTGAATAATCTACTCCGACATTGTCACCCAGACGACAACCACGAGCACAGCACACTGAGTTATCGAGTGGCTATCATGATGTCCCCCCCCTCCCCCCAAGAGCATCGAAGGCTCTCTCTTATGCAGTGGCAACCAATATCCTCCTCCAGGATCATGATAGCAAGATTCAACTCAAAAGGAGGGAAGGAAGGAAAGTCACAATCATACAATGGCTACACTGCGCACCTACAAGTAATGCAGATGACGAGAAGAAGGAGGAATTCTATAGACAACTGCAATCAATACTGGACAAGGCCCCACCACAGATAGCGTCATCAAAATTCTAATGGGTAACATGAATCCCAAACTGGGAGCGGAAAACACTGGAAGAGAACTTATCATGTGTCGACAAGCCCTCGGTGAAATGAATGAGAATGGAGAACTGTTTGCAAACTTCTGCGAATTCAACGATTTGGTGATTGGGGGCAGTG